AAGGACTTCCTTAGCAAAATAACCAAATGCTGAAAAGATGACAGCTAAATAGAGGCTGAAAGGAATAACCCTCATAAAAATTAAGAAAATTCATCTCAAAAAAAATGCCATCAACAAAATTAATTATACCAAAATTACTTTAATGGTAAAGAGGGAAATGTATTCCCAATATATAAAATATACTATGAGTTAATATTTCTAATATATAAGGAATCATATAATTTATTAGAAATAACTGAAGATGTGTATTTTCAAAAGAAAAAATGTATCTATTTCAAATCTGATAAGCAAAAGTTGATTGCTTGCTGGGGAAAAAGCTGATTAATAAAGGAAGTCATGTGTATGTGTGTATATTTAAAAAATATACACATAAAAACCCAACTCAGAATGCAATAGAGATTTAAATTTATGACAAATGCCCCAAATTTACATTTAAAAACCTCAAAATTTAATGGAATCTAAGCCACTGGGGAGACAGTCAATAATTCTTCTAATAATATGTCCTCTTCACTCATTACTGTTTGCTGAGATTTGGGTTGAGCAGTATAACAAGGCTGACATGAAAATTAATAATTTTATCCATACCTTGATTAACATTTTATCACTTTGTGAGTTTAGTTTTGAACATAAATAAGGATAACTTTCCACTAGGAGAACAGAATTTAAATGGTATCAGTAAAACTTAACAAAATGAAACAATTTCTCTTTGTTTCTGGTTCACTCAACAGTCATTTGTCAGAATATTTATTTTAAAAAATATTATTCAAAGATATGCAGTATTTCTACAATGATTTGATAAGGACTCCAGCTTACACAACATCCGTTTTAAGAAGAGCATCTGAGGGGCGCCTGGCTGGCTCAGTTGTTAAGCGCCTGCCTGCGGCTCAGTTGTTAAGCGTCTGCCTGCGGCTCAGGTCATGCTCTCAAGGTCCCGGGATCGAGCCCCGCATCGAGCCCCGCATCGAGCCCCGCATCGAGCCCCGCATCGAGCCCCGCATCGGGCTCCCTGCTCAGCAGGGAGCCTGCTTTTCCCTCTCCCACTCCCCCTGCTGGTGTTCCCTCTCTCACTGTCTCTCTCTGTCAAATAAATAAAATCTTTAAAAAAAAAAAAAAAAAGAACACCTGATTTTGCTTTCAGCTAGCTCTTTCAAAAGCTTTCTTCTTTGCTTAGTGCCAAGTATACTTTATATATTAACTGAGTTAGGTCCATCTGTACATATTCATTCACATACATTTGGATGTGCTGAATTCTAAATTAAAAAAAAAATCTATGTTTAGAATGAAGACTATCTATAATAATAAATATGCAAAACAAACAAAACTGTTAAGAGCACAGAGCCTAATTTGGGCTCTATAAAACAAAGGTAAATGGTAAGTTAACTTTATCTAACTCCCATGAAAGAAAAATGTCAGAGTTTTATTTGTTCCAGTGATGTTTCTAGTAAAATAGTATTTCTTTAAAACTAATAATATCTTAGCAAATATAATATCCTTCCAAAGAACAATGGATCAAAACATCAGGATGGTTCCTTAGGAAATTCCCATTACCAGTTATTCATACTGTTTTTCCTTAAAGGTTCAACTCCAAGCCAAACCGATTCTCTTTGCAAGAGTACAGCTAAATTACAGTTTATGGCTGTGTTCATTATGTGCCGTACTTGGCCATACCTGCTTTATAAAAAGCGCAATTTCAAAAAAAAAATGCAATTTCATTAAGAGAAGAAAAAAACCTAAGAGAATGTAATCTATACAAAAATGGTTTAAAATATTTCTTTTTCAAATAGGCTGAATTTCTTTTCCAAAACAATTATATAATAAGATATTCATATTTTGTTTTGTAAAGAACCTTGAGGGACACCTGGGTGGCTCAGTTAAGTGTCTGCCTTTGGCTCAGGTCGTGATCCCAGGGTCCTGGGATTGAGTCCCATATCGGGCTCCCTGCTCAGTGGAGATCCTGCTTCTCCCTCTCCTTCTACCCCTCCCCCCCCCACTCATATGCCCTCTCTCTCTCAAATAAATAAATAAAATCTTTAAAAAAAAAAAAGAAAAGGGGCACCTGGGTGGCTCAGTTGTTGGACATCCGCCTTCGGCTCAGTTCATGATCCCAGGGTCCTGGGATCGAGTCCCACATCGGGGTCCCTGCTCAGCGGGAAGCCTGCTTCTCCCTCTCCCACTCCCCCTGCTTGTGTTCCCTCTCTGGCTGTCCCTCTCTCTGTGTCAAATAAATAAATAAAATCTTTAAAAAATAAATAAATAAATAAGAACGAACCAACGAATGAAAGAACCTCGATGTTTCATTCACTGTCCACTAGGCAGATGCAAAGAAATCTGGGGTAAGTTAGCGGAAGGGGTAATACAACAGTATTACTAAGCTGCGGTAAGTTAGTAGAGGGATGCTGGGGTAAGTTCATGGAAGGATGTGTGATAGAACAGTCTCACTAAGCTGTTTTGGTATACTGGACCACTTTGCAAAACACAATTCTTAATTCTACCCTCAAATATAAAGTAAGTGAGAATGTAGAAAACTCTGTCAGGCTAAGTCTCCTATTTTATTTAAAAAAAAAATGGGGGGGACACACAAATAAACCAGATACAACTATTTATTTAAGTGAAAAGGTACGACTATTTATATCCTATAGGTACTAAGAGTCAGATTTCCTACCTAATACGAAGACTTTCACCAGCCTAATAAAAAAATGTGTCTAAATTATGCCAGGATTGGCCAAAGACCATACTGTTAAAAAGTTCAACATCAATAGTCACTAAGGTAATGGAAATCAAAACCACAATGAGATATTACTTTATGAACCCAGGATAAATTATCATTTTTTTTAATGGAAAACAAAAAATTTGGTCAGCATGTTAAGAAACAGGAACGTTTTTACACTGCTGGTGATTTTAAAATAGTGGAACTACTGGGATGCCTGGGTGGCTCAGTTGGTTAAGCGTCTACCTTTGGCTCAGGTCATGATCCCAGGGTCCTGGGATCGAGTCCCGCATCGGGCTCCTTGCTCATCAGGGAGCCTGCTTCTCCCTCCGCCTGCTGCTTCCCCTGCTTGTGCTCTCGCTCTTTCTCTCTCCCACACTCTCTCTCTGGCAAATAAATAAATAAATAATCTTTAAAAAAAAATAGTGGAACTACTTTGGAAAACAGTTTGGCAGCTCCTCAAGAAGTTAAACATAGAATTATCATACACCCAGCAATTCCACTTCTAGGTAGTTGCCCAAGTGAAATGAAGTTATATGTCCACTCAAAAACTTGTATACAGTGTTATTAGCAGCATTACTCATGATAGCCAAAAAATAGAAACAGCCTCAATGGTGAAAGGGAAAACAAACTACAGTATACCCATATAGTGCAATATTATTTGGCAATAAAAAGAAATCCTGATACATGCTACAATGTAAAAAAAAAAATATGCTAAGTGCAAGAAGGTAGTCACAAAAGGCCACATGCTATGATTCCACTTACATGAAATGTGCAGGACAGGCAAATCCATAGAAACATAAAGTAGATCAGTGGTTGATGGGCTGGGAGGAAGAAAAAAGGGACTGCTGATGGGTATGGGTTTCTTTCTGGGGTGATAACAGTGTTTTGAATTAGATAGTGTGATGGTTGCACAACTCTGTAAATACACCAAAAACCACTGAACTGTATACTTTAAGAGTGTATCTAATGGTATGTGAATTATATCTCAGTGAAGCTTTTATTTTAAAAAGAAAGAAAAATGAATAAACTGAAAAGCATAATTTTGAGTCAGGATATGAATATTTTCATTGTGTATCTCATTAATAATATCATGACCGTGTCAGTAAAATCATAAATTGGGTAAAGGCACAGGTACTGCAGGCTTCTAGGAAACTTTTCCCCAAATACATGACTTCCTTGAGAGGCATTAAAATGAAACAAACCAAAACATGCCACAAATTTCTGCTTTCTATATACTCTGTTCTGTATGTCTGTTCATCTTTGTCCACGTTTCTACTTCTGGCTTATTAGATTTGAATAATGAACCCAAATGCACGACACCCCAAACCCTCTTTATATAGTAATAGCCTCAATGAAATAAATTCAATAAATACTGCAAGTTAGAATTACAAACATTAGAATGTCAAAATTAGATAGAGACCTCATACAATTATTTCCCTCTCCTCTCAGTCCATTCCAGTTAAGCTCATGTATTCCAGGAGTGCAAGTTATCGGACTCTCTTAAATTTTGAGATAAAAGATAAAATACTTCTTTTAGAATTATTTGTTGCTTTTAAAAATACTTGTTCTAAACTGCCACACCAACTAAAATGAATAGAAAGGCCAAGTTGGTTCAGACAAACAAATGATAATGGAAAAGCACCAGTTCTATTGTCATTATATGCCTAACCCAACATCGTATCATTTTGGATTCAAACAGCAACCAAATACCTTGATACTGATAGGAGAGCGTAAAAAAATTTTTTTCAAAGATAACATTAATATACAAAAATTATTCAGCTTGCGGCGCCTGGGTGGCTCAGTTAAGTGTCCAACTCTTGATTTCGACTCAGGTCACGATCTCAGGGTTGTGAGATCAAGCCCTGCGTCATGCTCCGTGCTTAGCATGGAGTTGGCTTGAGATTCTCGCTCTCCCTCTAGCTCTGTCCCTACCCCCACTCACTCACTTGCTCTCTCTAAAATAAATAAAATCTTTAAAAAATAATAAAAATAAAAATTATTCAGCTTAAGATCAGATACAAACCTTAAATCTAGCCATGCAATATCAACAGCACAATCCTACAGCTGTCCTCTCAGCCCTGAGGTACACGGACTGGACGGATGGCCTTAACTGAGATGAATTTCCTTCAGAGTATCACCTGGATAGAATATATCTCATTATTTCTATCTTTCTGAGAATAATAAAGGCCTGAATTCTAGCAAACTGAGCCAATGGTTTTGTAAGTGCTGACGGCGCAGAATTCTCGGACGTGCATGGATGAGGGACTCTCTGTCACCTCATGTGCCATACCTGGTATGCACTGTGCTGTGGCCTCAGTGGTTATGGTTGGAGCGACTGGGGGCTGCTGCTGACTGGAGCTCACTTCTGGCTCTGTGTTAACTGAGGGAGAAAGAGCTACCTCACAGGAGGAAACCTGGCTGGGCAGATGGGGCAGGAACTCTTCTGAAGCAACTTGGTCATCCTGTCCAGGCAGTTGCAGGGCAGACAAAGGGATGCTGATCTGTTTGTTAGGATGGGATGTGCTCACAGGCATCTGCATGGACACCTGCTGGTTGGTGCCATGGGCACCAGGGGGTCCTCTGTTTGGTGAAGCCAGAGATACCCTGCCAGTCTTGTGGACGATTGGTCTGGACATGACAGAGGGGGATGCAGATACACCATGTGGGTCTAGCTCTGTGCCAATGGCAGATGTCACATGGGGAATCAGCTTAGCAGACCCTATGCAGGAGGGACCAGCATGAGTTTGAGGCTTGGGTTTTGCCATCTGCGTCAATGACAGGGCTGGTCCATCTACCCCTCCAGTCAGCTCTGCATTCGCCACAATGTAATAATCTTCAGGAATCTCTTGTTTGATTTTCTTAATGATGACATCATTGCTGCATTCATCAACCATTTGAGCCTGGGAGCTGGAATGGAGAGAAGATGGGACTATTCCAGGCCTTTTTCGAGCAATGCTTTGAGGCCTTTGGGTTTGGGGTTCAAAGTCACTATCCTCGTCTGTAACAGAAGACTCACAAACCATGTCAAACAGGGTGTTCTCATCTTCATATTCTTCAACAGCTTCATCCAGTTCAGAGGGCTCACTACAATAAGAGAAGTCACAAGAGTCTCTGGTCCGATTACAGTCTAGCTTCGCTTTCACTGGTCTCCCAGGGTACCTTTCAACCGGGCTAGTTTGTGTCTCAGAAGGTACTCCAATTATACTGGGACTATCAGAGTTAAAACTTCTGTTATCCTGGAAACAGACCCTTTCTTGGGACCCAGCTCTGCAAGTAGCTGTCAGTGGCCAGTGATAAGCATGGCCCGCACTACAGCCCCACATTGCTGTGAGGTTCCCATGGGAACCTTCCGAAAGCAAGTGTTTCAGGTTTGGAATGAGGCTGCAAATGGTCCCATGGCTGTGGGCCCAGCTGACCAATTTGGACAGATTCTCAGATGAAGTATGAAGGCAATCCTCCATGTTACAGGATCAGCAGTGTCTTTCCTAAAGGGAAATAATCAAAATAAGAAGCCATTATTACCCAAGATATTCCCATATCTCCATTACTTCAATTTCCTTGAACTATGATCATATGGCATAAAAAAGAATTGTACTTCGGGCGCCTGGGTGGCTCAGTTGGTTAAGCGACTGCCTTCGGCTCAGGTCATGATCCTGGAGTCCCGGGATCGAGTCCCACATCGGGCTCCCTGCTCAGCGGGGAGTCTGCTTCTCCCTCTCACCCTCCCCCCTTTCATGCGCTCTCTCTCTCTCTCTCTCTCTCATTCTCTCTCTCAAATAAATAAATAAAATCTTAAAAAAAAAAAAAGAATTGTACTTCAAAACTGTATCTAGTTAATATCGCTGCACATGAGCAGACTGGAAGAGAATACAGGGAAAAGTAAAAAAAAAAAAAGTGATGCCTGTTGGCCATGAGACGAGAAGATTTTTGATAGTTTCCTTGATTGTTACAACAATATCTGCATAAAAATATTTGCATGAGAAAAAAAGTGGGAAAGAAAAAAAACAATTAAGCAATAAAAAAGAGGTGAGCTTTTTCATGGTATGTTTTACTTCCAAAGTCACAAAGAGAGGTTTAGTCAGCTCTTTAATAATAAAATGTGTGCATTATCTGTATTAACCAAGAGGATGCACTTCCAACTTTACCCTCTGCCATCAGAAACTTCATTACCAAAGGCAGAACCAACAAAGGCTTAGGTCCGTTCTAGGATGAGTCACAGAAGAAAAGTCAATCCTCTGCTGGGCACCAGAAAACAAATGATGTAACTGAGAGTCCAAGGAGAGAATGAAGTGCTATAGTGGGGAAGAAAAAGTCTTTAGCAGGGAAGGGAGAATGGACTGGGAGGAGAGCCACTAGAGGGCATCTGCTGGGGTCAGAAGCATAGGCAGTCTATAGGCCAGAAGCAAGGATGGGTGGGCCAGGTGCCAGGACTCTAACCAAATCTTAGGAGCTGGCTTTCTGCCTCCTTGCTGTCTGAAACTCCTGAAATACTGCCCTTCATCTCACAATTTGGAGGTAAAAGATGTGTCTGGTTTATTCCACCATCTAAGCTTCCTGGGCACCTAAGGATAACCAACTATCAAACAGGAGTAAACCATTCTTTATCGGGTGGAGGTCAAAAAGAATCACTTGTTATGGGCCCGTGGCTGGGTAACAGTGAGGACATGATGGGCAAGAAAAGTAAAATGGGACATGTGGAGTCTGCATGTGATTAGAAAGCTCAAGTAAGTTTCTGATAAAGGGGAGATCCTAGGGAGAATTGAGCAGGGGAGGAGCAAGGATCTTGATGTATATATGTTTAGTCTGTCCTGTTTATCTGTAGCTGTGAGTGACAAGTGGTGCCTCACTGTAGGTGGGCTCTGCACTTAGGTGCCAAGGTCTAACTGCAATGTCAGGGGACCATTCAAAAGGGGATATCTGAACCTCCGTGGCACCCCATCAATAGTTAGGTAAATTCAAACCCTTTCACATATTATGAGGCCTCTGTGATGTGGTCATGGCTACAGTCAACCCCTCAAGCCTCATTTCCTATTACTATGGGCTTTTCCCATCTTTCTCTTCTTCCTCTAAACAGTTTCTCACACCCACTGGGCCTCTAAAAACTCATTCTTCGGCTTGATATGCAGCCCTCTTCTTTCTTCATCTGGAAAACCCTTTCAAAACTGAACTTGGGACCAGCTCCTATTGAAATCTTTACAGACCTTCTTTCAGGCTCAGATATTTATTCACTTGTATTCACTCTTCACTTGTATTTCCATCATCTCTTGAGTTATCTCTGTATTGTTATCACTACCATTCTTGTCTGTCTCTCAAACTTGACTGAGAATTCCCTGAGGACAGGAACTATAATTTTTTTAACTTTTTATTTATTTTTAAAATTTTAGTATAAGGGGCTATAATTTTTCATTCATCGATGAGGACCTAGTTGGGGGCAGGGATATTAATACATATCGATATGGTCCTGCTCTTGAGACCTTATAATCTATTGTTAATGATGAATAAATGAAGAATGAATCAATAAACATATAAATACTGGCAGTACCATCAACACTAACAAAATAAACATAAGACCCTCAAATAAGAAACATGAAATTTCCTATCACTTTTATTGTAGTCACTGAAGGGAACAGAGGATTTTTCTCCCCTGTGGTATAACCAAACCGCAGTTGTCTTGTGCATAGGAGAGTAATAAGTGAGCTACCAGATTTTGTGAAGCTTCACAGTAAGTGGAAAGACCAGTGACTGGTGTTGGAGTTGGGAACTTCAATTCCAGTCTTGGAACTGATGTCTGTGGCCTCAGACAAGTCACTAATTACCTCTAAGCTAAAATGTCAGGACTATATGATCTTTATGTTCCCTTCATACTACTTTAGGAATTTAGGGACTTACTTTATTTATATTCCTTTCATATAACTTTAAAGTAAAAATGCAGATAAAAGAGAAAGAGTGGTACACTTATCACAATGAGCACTGAGTAATGTATACTATTGCTGAATCACTATATTGTACACCTGAAACTAATATAATACTGTATGTTAACTACACTGGAATTAAAATAAAAAACTTGGTTAAAAAAGAAAGAATGACGTTTTTGATATTTGATTTAATTGGTATGGCAGACCATTTGCCTACCCAGTATCCATTCTTTTTCCTTACAGAGAGTCCCAATTTGTTGAGGCAGCAATATGCTCACCTAAAACACATTTCCCAGCTTCCCTTGAAATAGGAATCGTCATATGACACAGTTCTGGCCAAAAATATGTAAACAAAAGTCACTGAGTGACTCGTCTGATTTTGGCCTTTTGCCTTATTCCCTTGGTCCTCCCCTTTCTGTCTGCCTGGAATAAGGACATGATGGCTTGAGCTCCAGAGGCCATACTGGGAACCTGAAGTAAGAACTTAAGGATGAGAGAGAACACCCAGAAAGAGCTTGGGTCCTGTTGACATCACAGAGTCACTGCATCAACTCTGAACTATCTAGGATTCTTTGTTACATAAGGAAAGATAAGGCCCTGATCTTGCTTAAGCCACTGTTGTTGGCAGTATTTGATTACATACAGCTGAACTCAATCACTAACTGATACACAAAAAATAATACTCATCTCTGGTTTTTGGAACCTCAGAGCAAAATCCTTCAATTTCTCTGCACCACCCCCCAAGTACAACAGTTTCTCAGACTGGACTCCACAAGTAAATTATTGGGAGGTCTATAATTCTATTCCAAAATGTTGATAACTGTTTTCATTTTGATTCTAGTAAAAATATGATTAATATAAGCATATTATGAATCATCTAATCACCTTAGATCCGAATATTGCCTTCACATCTATACTCACATTATTGTCCATAATCACCTAAAGCGACATGACTCAACTTTCAATCTGTTGGGAAACCTGTTCATGCTGTTTCCTTTTTAGCAAATATAAAACTTGTCTTTTGCATTAATAATTTGCAAATGAAAGGCATCATGATTTGACATCATGAAAATGGAATGTGAAACTGAAACAATACACTACTTTAAGTGTCACAGGGTAATGAGAAAATAAAAGCAGTTGAGATAAATATATATGTTCACAGAAAGAAAATAATATACGTTATGGCACAATATATGAATGAAAATGTTGTAACAGTTCAAATATGTAAAAATGTGGCAGAATCAAAACACAAAATTATATAAGCATGTGGAACTCAAAGTAACTTATTGTTCTGGTAAAAGCTACTATACAGTAGTAAAATAGTACCTTTGCTGAAGGTCCCACAAGGCAGGAAAAAAAATTATAATAAAAAACAAAATAGATACAATTTTAAATTTTGTTAAAAGCTTATGCACTTAATTCTATAATAATCACCAACCTTTAAGAATCAATAGGTAGTAATCATAAGTCACTTTTATTACATTCTGAAATTCACTAGCAATCTCATGAAGAGGCTCTTAAACTTCTCTTGAGTATCATAAAATGAAAATATTTTTCCAGTATCATTATTAATATGTTTCAGCCAGGCAACCAATGTTAACCAACGTAGTTATGAGAGCATAATTTGCTGATATTTAGGGTAATTAAATGGATTGAGTCCAAGCTGACAAGGAATAGCTATCAATAAACTGTAATATATTCTACATTTAATACAGAATAGAATCAGTAAGAAGACAATTAAGGTATTTCCGAACTGCTGAAAATAAGTCAGTTCTAGAACCTACTAATTTGCTTCAAAAGTCTGATGATGAGCTCTACACTGAAAGATAATGCCTTTTCCACATCTTCAAGAATTAAAAATAACTTCACATAGTATTTCCCATATCTGATACGGGCAATGATTGGATCAGACACTCAGCTTTACAGAGTTATCATGTGACACTTGATTAAAAACAAATTCAAAGAGGGGGGTCCGGGTGGCTCAGTCAGTTGAATGTCCAACTCTTGGTTTCAGCTCAGGTCATGATCTCAGGGTCGTGAGATCAAGCTCTGCATGAAGCCCCACATTAGGGGGGAGTCTGCTTGGGATTCTATCTCTTCCTCTCCCTCTACCCCTCCCCACTGCTCGCTTGCTCAAATAAATAAATCTTAAAAACAAAACAAAACAAAACTCAAAGAGTCCTGACCAGCAAAGTTTAGGTTAAGTATGAAATTTGCTTATCCTAAATTAGCAAACAAAGCTATGAAGTTATTATCACCAACTGTATGTTAACTTACGCAAGGAGACATTTTATATATTAGTATTTACATTATTAAAGTCAAAATCAGAGAGCCATTAAATATAGAGTCTCTCTGGTGCCTGGGTGGCTCAGTCAGTTAAGCATCTGCCTTCAGCTCAGGTCATGATCCCAGGGTCCTGGGATCGAGCCCCACGTTGGGCTCCCTGCTCAGCGGAGAGCCTGCTTCTCCCTCTCCTTCTGCTGCTCCCCCTGCTTGTGCTCTCTCTCTTAAATAAATAAAATCTTTAAAAAAATAAACAAGGGTGCCTGGGTGGCTCAGTTGGTTAAGCG